GGCTAAGAGACAGCCTTAGGACTGAGGGAATAGTCATTAGAAAATAAAATAATAAATCAATGCTGAAAAAAGTTGGTGGTCCTGGGTCTAGGACTTGAGTATTTTAGGGCTGGGCTAGCAAAAAATACATTAAAACTAGACTATATTCCATAGCTGATATAAAAGGGCAGCAATTATTTTAGCAAAATTAGACCTTGGTCCAGCAAAAAAACAAAAAAAAAAAAAAATTTTTTTACAGTACTGTAATAACATTGGTTAAAATTTTAAAATAAAATAAAGAGAATACAGAGGGAAAAAAAATATTCATTTTGCTCTAAAAATATGTTAAAACAGTTACTGTATGTGAGTCTTTCTCGTTTTGCAAACAAGCCACCTGCAAATAATGATTATTTAAAATAAAAATCAATTTTTGGTAAGTTTTTGACAAAAATTGACCTACATTTCAGCTAAAGTTAATCTATATCTGTATGTGAACTGCTACTATAAAAAATTGAAAAACAAAATGCTTATGCTTGGCTGACGCCACATATCCTGAGATTTTTTTTCCCCTTTATAATTAAATATTTATAATATCAGTCCAATTACTGAAATAAATGAAAAATATAAAAATATATAAAACAGATATAGAAATATAAAAAAAATATTTAGAAATATAGAGATATATAGTAGCAGTAGATTGTCGCAACTTGCAGTTTAAAAAAATTGAAATATATAAAAAGTGTTAGAAAAATAAAAATATATATATAATAATATATAATAATAGCTAGAAATATATAGAAATATAGCCGTAAGTTGTCACAAGTTCAAAAAATTGGATTTTGCCACTTTATACTAATTCACTCAATGACCAACTAATTTCTGTCTCCTTGCATATCACACTTTTTTTTAGATGAAGGTCAAATTGTTATTTCAGATCTGGAACAAAATTGAAGCCTCCAGCAAAAATAAGAAATTGATATGAAAGAATGAGTACATGAGACTTCACAGCAGACAGCTATGAAAATAAATTCATAGTTATATTTGCACGAATTCACATCAGTGTACTGTAAATATAAAACAGTGATATGATACTTTGTTAATACTATGAAATTTTCTTTGACATGATGTGCCTATATATGATGAATAAAAAGTATAGCCGCGTTAGTCTGTACAGTATAGAAAGTATAAAGTAAAAAACAGCAGCACTTTTGAGACTAACAATATATAATTTTATCTGCCTTATTATTAACTATATTTTTGTCTCATAGTTACCTTACTGTATTTACTGCCTATTTACTGTTTTTATCATTGACTTTGACATAAGCTTGGTTCACGTCAAACTTTTATCTAGATATACATCCACTTAACTAGTTAAAAGTTCGACGTGAACCACTCAATTATAGCTAGTTAAAGGAATTAAGTCACTTAAGTTAAGTGACTTAACTTTACTAGAATAACGGTAAATTAACTTAACGGTAAAGTCTGCTCGGATTAAAAGTACACGATTACGTAATGTAGGCATCTAAGCCAGCTTTGTTGTATTGTACCACCATTATCATCTTCTGGCTGGCAACAACGTACTTCAACAATGCTAACAACAGCATCGAAGTAGTCTCATTAGTCTAGTTTTCAGAAATTATTTGTAATATTTTGGGTAAACACCCAGCAAACGTCCGTTTTACGAATAGTCGATATTTTTCTTAATAATAAAATCAGATTTGTTGTATTTATTTATTGACAATTCAATCTTTTCTATTTCTGCTATAATAGTCGCTATTAATTCAATTTCAACGAACTACCACCAACGCCAGTCGTTAAAATGAGCGCATATGTTGACGATGACGAAATAAAAAAGTGTGTGGAAGTCAGCAACTTATTTGACACCGCGAAGCTAGATTTTCGTGAAGTGCATGTAAACAATACAATTGAGCGATCTAAAAACTACAAAACAGGACAGAAATGTCCATAAAGTATACATACGTTTTAATGAAAATTAATACAGTATTTTGTTAAATGGAAGAATGCTAGCTAGCGATTGAAATAATTCGTTTTTTATCGAAGGTAAATGTAGCTAGGGCCCCAACGTCTGGTTGACGACAGAGGGCGCCACCTGGCGTTGTGACGACACGGCTGTGGTACTCTATTGACTGTATTAGTCTGTATTTGTTATTAAATTGCAAGCACGACTGAAATACTTCCCAGGGAGTAAGAAGGTTATTTATCAATTATTATTATTTATTAATATTCATTTATTATTATTTATCATTATTTATTTATTATTATTAATTATTACTTATTATTATTAAATATTTTTATTATTATTATTATTATTATTATTAATAATATTATTATTATTATTATTAATATTATTATTATTACTATTATGATTACTATTATTATTATTATTGTTATAAATTTTATTACCAATATTATTTTATTATTAATATTAATATTTTTATTATTAATTATATAGAATGCACATTTAAAGCTCCGTACACACTATTAACATTTATGTGTGATTTCCTCATATGGGCATGAATCCATATCACACCCATAAATGGACATAATGTCATATCACACCACATATGGGCACATGTGATGATGTCATCACACCCATATATGGACACGATGATGTCACATCACACCCATATAGGGACATGATGATATCATATCACATCCTTATGCGTAATTACAATCAAAATCTGTTGGAAAACCATTTGTCGATATATTGAAAGAAAGTGGTATTTCCAGTTTTCAAATATATTCAAAAATGTGCATTTTATTAGCCATCCTCAAGTTGTGCACATTAAATTCTGTTCGGTTTTTTATTCAAAATTATTCACATGCTACCAATAAAAGTTACTGATTACATCGAAGGTAACTGCAGTGTAATACAGCTATCATAATTCCACCAAAGCAAGATTTCAACACTTAAACAAAATTTAATAATCAAGGAACCCTGTGGCAAAAGAGCTGACCTAATTTCTTCACGGCACATGTTCTGTAGACTTAAAGTGGTTGTGATATCTGCATTAACACGTCATCGCCATACTTCCTCGGGAATTGGTTATGATGAAAATTTGGTCAGCTTCCATGTACTGTAACCAAGAGTCCATATAGGAGGTTCGTCCACATAGACAATTTCTTACGTGAAAAATTTACTTGATGAGAACATTATATATATGGGCATGATGGTGATGCATTACTCTCCAAATATGGGCATCCCATTTATTTGTCACATTAAATTTAATAGTGTAAATGAGATTTGGATGTGTTTACATTGGACTTTTTTGGTCTGACTACCATGTATCCTGGTCACTTTGAGCAAAAAAAAAATAATCCAGTGTGAACAATCAGCATAACATTCTCCATGGCCAAATTACCCAAGATGCACTGCAAGTTGAAATGAATGAAATTTGCCCTAGAAAAAGTTAACCATGCTGTCTAATACCAATCAGGAAATGCTAACAGTGCTACAGTACCTGTCTCTTATACACATCTAGATGTGTATAAGAGACAGTAATGCACACAGGACCAAGGGCTTAAACGTC